TCGTTAATTAGAATTTTTACAAGTTGTATAATACTGCGCTCTTTCAAATATCTCTTGATCTTTTCAGAAACCTTTTCTTCATAGACCTTTTCTGAGTAGGCAGAAATATGATGATTCAAACTTTCAAAAATTTTCCCAATCCTTAATGTGAAAATATATTCATTCCAACCAATAAGGACTAACAGTCGTAATAAGCGAAGAATGATTGGTGAATGATAATTTTTAGTATTTTTAGTAAAATCCAACTTATTGAGAAGCTGCTCAGATAAATCAATAGAATCTCTGAGCACATTTTGATAATCTTCCGTGCTGTACTTGCGATTATTTTGACTTGGAGGAAGGAGTGGTTTCACATTAAATGCATAGAAGTAATTTACCAGGTAGCTACGAGGAATGCAAAAGTCACAAGATTTAGAACTAGTTGCGAAAATTAGTGAAGTCATGAATTCAATAAGAGATGTAAGATCATCAAGTGATCCAGGTGTATTCATTAGGTAAACTTGATGGATGTGGTCTAAGGAATAGCGAATAAATATCACTGCATGACTAATTGCATCTATTACCATATTGGAATTAAGACAGTGGAAAAACGAAGAAAGATGCAGTCCGACTGAAATATCATAAACACCATAACGACATGTCTGATCATATTCGAAGCCAATTAATGGGTCATAGGATGAATTGTGGTCAAAGGAGTCTTTAATTTCACAACGGAGTCCCTTTACATCCCAATAAAATTTATTGATACTCCATCTATCATGCAACTTTTGAAATACGAACATGCTTTTTAACATAACTCCAAAGTTTCTGCCATTTGCAAACACTCCTCTAACTTTTTTGCCATCTTTGAACTTATTTCGCAACCATACTTTATGAGCGAGATCAATGAAACCATCATATATTTTACTAAGATGATTACGAATCACTAAATGTGATATCTCAGGGCAACTTGTTTGCGGAGATTGATAACGGAAAAGATGGTCAACCAGCTTTTCAGCCCAGTATCTTTGCCGACTAAGAACACTCATACTTTGATCATCTTTAAGTATACGACGATGATATAAGACAAGCATCTTTCGCATTACGGTATATTGTAGACATAAAAGCAACAGATGATTGTACAAAATCATTGGTGTTGGCTTTATGTGCCTATCTT